TTAAAAAGCCGATTGCTGAAGACCTGGTGACAAGTTTTAATCTTATTCACAGCACAAGAAGCCCTTCTTCGTTGATATGTCGGGGTTTCTTTGTATTTCAAAACACCTTTTGTCTGGTGCATATGCCACGACTCATAAAAACTAACTTATATTTATTAATTTAGTTTTGTCAGACGAATTTGTATCCTTGATTTTTTTTAATTTAAATTTTTGATCTTTCTTGTTGTGTGGAAAAAAGGCGATTTATTTATTACAAAAACAAAGTATGAATCGCATAAATGAGCTTTGATTTAGGGACGACATCAAAAGATCAATCTAGGATAAAAAACTTAATTCAAATAGTATGGGGGTGGGGGGTAGTTTGGGGTTGGAAAGGGGAGGTGGTTAAAATTGCTGCAAGTTTTGTTTATTTGACATCGATTTTACATATATCTGTATTGGTCAATCAATTTTTCCAAAATTAAGTTAAGAGGGGGTGGGGGTCAGTCAAAAAACTATGTGAATTAAGTTTGTTTATCCTAGTACATTGAACTTTTGATGTCGTCCCTTATAGTCCTGTGAATTTTTATCCGTAGTATTAAATCGTACTGATAGCAGAAAATTTTAGATAAGTGAAAATAAGTTGAAATATGAAAGAAAACTTTCAAATAAGAGTTACTCCTAAACACACATAAAAAGGGAGACCCACTATAAAAGCGCTTGCGACCTAACTCGCTGTACATGATGATGTCTTTAGTTACTACAATTGATAAATCTTCACTTATCAATCAGAGAGAGAGCTCTACTTATCAATATCAATAAAAATATATTTTAACTGTTGAATGACTTATTCTTCAATTATTTAGTCTTAGAATTTATATCTTTAATTTTCACCAATTGTCTAATTAAAATTTGATTTATTGAACCTTTTGTCTGCTACGCCTTACCTAACTATAGATGGTTGAGATATGTTTAGCCGTTTTTACATAAAACATTTAAAAAATGAAAAACATCTAGCTTGTAAGTTATTTCTTCATAGACATATATCATCATTTTAAAGCAAACTTATTTGTCCAAAGCATAAATGAATGATTGTACTGAAATGAATGAATATATATATAGCCTATTGTTAGAAAGCTGGACAAACTTGTGTTTGCTGGTGTTAATATGTTTATAAAAACACAGCTGATATTACGTCATATAATTTCATTACTAATGGTGATTAAACTGCAATAAGCTACGGTTTGGTACCAATTTCGTCGTCAGCTCTGTTGCATAAGGACAAATGAAAATATCAAATTTCTTGGTAACAAGGATGTCATATAACCTCCTAGATGGTATTTTTTTAAGATACATGAACATCAAAACTCATGAGATACGTTTCATGACTGTTTGTTTAAAAATGTCATTCAAGATATATTAACAAAAAATATGGATTTTTTCCCTAATTTTTCAAAATAATTTCCCCTTCGTACATTGATTTATAATCTCGACGCGGTTTTGATCTCAACATCATAGTCCTTTTAAAGACCACTAAATCAAGTATCGTAATTTATAACTCCCATGAAGACGCTAATTAATTTTTTTCAGAGACATGTCTCTTATTTAACAAGATTAGTAAATGCAACGACATCTATTGGAAGGAGTTAAGAGTTATCGTTAATTATCTACTGTCCAATATAAACAGATTGGGTTATCTCGCTTGGAAATGTGACATAGTCTTGCACATGGCGCTTGGACGCCAGTGCAATCTTGGACTACTATTTTACTGCCTTCCAGAATTTAAACTATCCCAAAGATCTGACAGGTTTATATTCTAAAAAGAACATCTTTTATACAAAGAGGGATTACAAAAATAATGTGATACTGTTTACTCACGTAATAGAATTAACCATATGTGAATTCCCAAGAACTCAAAAGAAATTCTGGAAAATTTTAAATCTCGGTCATTCTCTGAAATAAATTCTATCAAAATTTTCGATTTTTCCCCCGTCTTTTACACCACCATACGTGGCTCATGAAGAATTAATAACCCATCTAAAAGAAATGATCCACAATACTTTCCTACATAAAAATTGTACCATACGCTACAAAGTTATTGTTTTGGGATATAATTCGACATATTTTATTATAAATTCAAAATGTCGGCTTCCTTTAGTTACAGACAGGGAGATAGAGAATTTTACGCTTATTGTCATCCAATCAGAACCATTGATACAAAATAATTGCATTAGAATAACGTTTTCAAGTTGTTGGCGTCTTTCAACGGTCAGATTTACCATCAAGTACAATAACTTTTTCAAGTTGTTGGCGTCCTTGTCAGATTTACCATCAAGTATGATACAGTAACGTTTTCAAGTTGTTGGTGGCTTTGTCAGATTTTTTAGTATGTTTGTTTCAATTCTGTAGTCAGTTATGTTGTTAAACTATGTCTGAGATGTATGCATCTTTACACTGAATTTTAGCTGCTGGATCCCAATTAATGTCACATCAACCAATTTTGCCTATATGGGTTGCGCACCAACTTTTGTCAATATAACGGAATTATAAGTAGGAGGTTTAGCTATCTATAAAACCAGGTTTAACAGACCATTTTGCTTTTGTACCAAGTCAGGAATATGACAGTTAACTGTTGTTTTCTATTCGTTCTGTTGGTTGGTATAGTATAACGTCTGGTTTTCCCCAATTTTGAAATAACCTTGGAATGGATCTGATTACAGTAGTTGTCTGTTTATGTAGTTCATACGTGCTTCTCGTTTCTCGTTTTTATATAGATTAGACCGTTGGTTTTTCCGGTTGAATGGTTTTACACTAGTAATTTTTTGGGGCCCTTTATAGCTTGCTGTTCGGTGTGAGCCAATGCTCCGTGTTGAAGGCCGTACCTTGACCTATAATGGTTTACTTTTATAATAACTTGGATGGAGAGTTGTCTCATTGGCACTCACATCTTCCTATATCTATTGGAATGGAGTTCGATATTTTAGTTAATACTTTTTTATGACGAATTCAGAAATACATAAATTTTGCATTTTAATCTATACACTTAGTGTAATAGTTCTGGTTGCAAATTATGAATATAAATTAAAAAAAAAGTCAAAATCCTGATTTTGCAAGGTTCAGTTAAAATTGTCTTGGAATCAGTGGTTGCAGGTTCATTCACCCCTATTTATCTACATTTGCCTTGAAGTTAAGAATGAGGAATACTTGTGTAAAGCAGAGAACTCCGCTTTTGTTGGACGCATTTGGTGCCAAACCGGCTTATAATGTATAGTGATTTAAGGCAGGCAAACGGGAGTAAGTTGACATCTTTTTTTGTTATCAACTCCTGTTTTCAGCTCAGGTCCCTGAACTTAAAAAGAACGATTGCATATTGAAGTTGAGTACCTGCTTTATTGCATGCTTGAATTTTCTTCATATCCAAAACTTTGGAACTTAAGGCAGGATTTTGAAATATTTACTAAAGGCGTTACCTTTTTCTGCGTAATAAACTGCGTCAGTTTTAAGATTAAGGATACATATGCAAGTAGTGTGAAAGAGGATCAAATTCTTTGTTTAAGGTTGAAATTCAAAAAGGACATATAACAGACCGATGATCATTAAGGATTTCCTATTTTGAGTAGTAAGTTTTGTTGTTGTTTCCAAGTCACGGACTTGTCAATACTTATTCCCCTATCAAGTACTTTACATAACGTAATCAACACTCACAAAAATGATATTGTTTTGTGCTTTGTCTGCGAGGGCAATGAAATGTTCGTTAAAGGGACAACAGAGGTGTTTAAAAACATTTAAGCCTTTGTAGAAAAGATGTAAAATTTATATGCCTATTTGTGTTTTTAAAATGACCTCACAGCCTTTACCAATTCGGAAATAGTATATTTCTTCTTATCACTGTATGGCATAGTTCTGGAGTGAATCCATCTCTCATGTCTGTATTTTCGAGTTTTTTAATCAATAGATCAATGCTATTACTAAACGGTATTTTTGCCCTTTGGATGATCAGGTGCAGCAGTTGTCAACAAAGAGAAACATTTATAAAGAGATCCAACAAGACCTGTTTGTAGTTGGTAACACTTGGTGTGGTATAGTAAAAAGGGGTCATTGAAACAAACTGACCTTTAAAATATATAGGTTTCCAAATTTGACTGAATTAGAATGAAAGATATAACTTTCTCTAATTTTTGTGTTATTTTCACATTTCTTGATCAGTGTAAGAAAAATATTTCTCCTCAGAAGTGAAATATCTGTTCTCGGTAAATGATTGGTCGAATTTAATTATGACGTCAAATTTTCTTGGTTTCTTCTGAATTTCCTATTGTGACGTCGTGAAAAAAGGCGACAATGCCGGATGAAGTCACATATAAAGAACACAACTTTCTGCAAATCTTTTAAAAGGAAGGATAAAAATCATTAGAGAAACAGATTCCACCACTTTAACTCGTGTATTACGACATTTCTCCACTCTCAAACAGTTAAATTTTAATTATTTAAAAAGCTCCGCAAGCCTCACCCTTTAAATATTAAAATTTAACTGTCTCGAGTGGAGAAATATAGTAACACACTTGTTGCAGTGGTGGAATCTATATGTAATTAAGACTTCTGTTTGTAAAATAAAGTTTTTAAAATAAAAATCATCTTGTTCAATGACAAAGATGAAAGCTATTACTTGGTATTAAAAAATAGGGATTGGTAACAAGGGTTTCAAAACATACGATTTGTAAAAGAATTCAGCTTCAAAAGGATAAGTAAATATAGTTTCATGTGAATGGAATGAATACCCTCCAGTGTTTTTAATACTTGTAGAAGGTCGTTATCTTCCTGTACATGCATATAATATTTGCCACTGGAAGTTAAGCAACCAACTATCAATAGAAGGTCATTAACGAAAACAACACAAAATTCAGGTTATGTCTATTGTGAGCAGGGATTGATAGTTCTGTGGTATATTTTCTGGATGATGCAAACTTCAATGGAAAGGAACCATGAGGATTGAAAATAATTTGAAATACTGATAAACAATGTCATTAACATTACTAAAACAACACAGTACTAATACTGTACCTTTAATATTAATTGGCAAAGTAAGTGACAATAAATAAAGATTGTATGGAACACATTTTATGGCCAATTAGCATCATATAACTGTTTAAAGATTGTAAACTAGCACTTCATTGTGGTAATATAACATTTGCACAGATAAAATGGACAACAGTTAAAGACATTGTTGAATAAAAGTATAAAAAGATATTTTTCTATAAAAATAATGAAAATAATGAGTGATTAAAAGCATTAAATTCAACAGAAATATCTAAAGCACATTTAAAGCAATATATATATAGAATTTTTGGTAAAAGAACATTATTGGAAATGTTTTTAATGAATATGATAGAACATTTCAATATTGTACATTGCATTTACGAACTAGACAAAGCAGCAAACACTGAAGCAAACAATGTGTGTAGTTAACAAGAGATAGGACAAAATACAAATGTTCTTTTATGAAGGTTTAACGCTTTGTCTCATATTAAAGGGAGATAATATTCTGGAAAAAAAACCCAGGTATTTTCCCCAATATCTTTCTGTGAGATTAGTCTCTGAATATCCACTTTATCATATGTTTGTGATAAAATGATTTAAAAGCATTGGACTTGGGGTAAAATGCTCAAACCACTTTCAGAAAGGAAAAGTCCTATCTCACACACATATATATAGGTACTTTAGTGCATGAAAAGATTACAATTTGCACAACAATGTTTACAATACATTTATACTTAAGTGTGAGAGCTTTTACACTAACTACAGCATTCAACAAAATAATCTTAATTTACCCTGGCAAAACAATATACTGGAAAGTTTAGAATACAAAATATACATAAAACTAATTTGTCCAATTAAAATAGGAAAATAAATTATGGGGCATATACTTCTACATTCATGACATTGTTTATCTATCTCTGTTGGTATAGCTAGAGGTGGATGACCAGAGGTCACATGTCTAATCTTTGTTAACACTTTGTAATATTGGAAGCAAAATCATGCTATACTGTTACAATACTTTACAAATACCAAACAAGCAATTCGAAGTAATAAAATATTGAAAATAACTAGTGCAAACTAAAATATATAATCAATTAAGAGTTTTAATATTTTGGACATAACAATTTCTACATTCCTGAGGTTCAGAGTTCTGTCAATAATTTTACACCAAACGACCTTGAACAAAATTCAATCATTGATGAGTATATTATCATAAAACAAACAGATATGTGATAAAATTAAAGTTCACAACTTCAAAGTACACCTTGTCAGTCAGGTTACTAGGCCATTTTAAAAGTATACATGTAATATGTCCTTATTTAAGTTACTTTTAACAGATCTTACTACTGCAGTCATCTTTTAATGTCAATGTAAAATGATAGTAACATTTTATGGTGAATTAATACAGATCAACTTTTAAAAAACCCCAAAATCTTAAGGTGAAAGATTTCTAAATCCATGTTTTTTTGCCAAAAATAAAAGGTTATAAATGTCATTGTAAGATTTAAAAAATACATTATATTTTAATATGTACCGTACCTCAAATGATTAGCTACAAATATGAAATTTTAAATTACAGAAAATATTTTGTTAAATGTTATGCAAATCACCAGATTAAGTCCCTTGTTTTAAATAGAATGTTCAAACCCGGGGTCAATTGGTGTAATTGTCATCATTGAACAATCTACTCTCACTGTGATGTAATAACATAAGCATTGTGAAATCAGAAATGTACAGGAAAATGTAAACAATAAAAAGTTGTCTATGTAGCAGATGCTTGTCCAAGAAAACATTTTAAGGTATTATTACATTATTACCACTCATGTCTCTACTTGTATGAATCTTTACAGTTCAAATATATTCTATAATTGCTGATGCATTCTTTGGATTCAAATAAAAGGCCATTAACAATTTACAGCCATCAGCTTTAGAGCAAATCGAGCATGCCAAAAAGACATGCATTTATCACATTTGTAGTCATGTAAAAAAAAAAACATCTTGTACCGGTAGTCAAAAGTGTTTTGGGTAAGACTTGAATACATGAATATCTAAAAAATTAACAAAAACATGCAAACAAAAACAACCCCCCAAAAACACTAGGCAATTATGGCAGTTTTCCTGAAATGCACTTACTGAAGCAAAAATAAAGTAAGAATAAAAATTCATTAATCATGTTAATATCAATTAGATTAATACATATGTACTGGATATTTGAAATAAAGGGAATTGATATGTGTGATACTATTTAAAACAAAAAATCCCCCTCACTTTCTCAAACTAATTCTTATAATGTACTCGTCACCTTTTTGTGCCAAAATCCATCTTTTTGGTGTGTAATTGAACGCATATGTAGGCATTAAATCTGATACATAGTCTCAAAGAACATTTCCTCACATTTCCCTTAAATTCATCATTTCCATTCAAAATGTATGGTTAAATAATAAAAATTCTAATAAAACTAAGTTTTCAAAAACCTTTTTTAATAACCAGGAAGTTCATTCTAGATATAAGGAGCAAGAGTGAATTGCAGAGGATGTGTATACATATTAATGTCTATTTTAGCATCTTACCATGATAGATAATTAAAGAATAATGAAAGCAAATATAATACTGTGAAATGTTACATATTTTATCTAAGATAAATGATTTTATATTACTACAATGTACATGTAAATGAAATGCCATTAAAAGTTTTAATCGAGCCCAATTCAATTTAGATAAGGTACATACATTGTATCTATTTAAACTTTTTGGGGAAAAAATATCTTTACAACAACTAACTAATAATTGACAGTGCTAGTTATGTACTTGTACCAATTGCTTATAAACTCTGTGTTATATATCTATATGTGTTTCAGACACATCTATTTATCATCGAACATAAAACAGTTAAAATATCACAATAAATAATTCCTTTCTTAGAAAATAATACAGTATTTCCCTAAAATTACCTACAAGTGCAATCTTTTACATTCAAGATGTTCTAATTCTTGTTCTTTACTCAAAGAACCTAACAATTTTGGGTTAAAATATCTTTCATTTTATGTTTGTTGTTGTTTCCATACAAATTTAAATCCTTTCCCTTTAGAATGCCCGTTAAGAGCATAGGATACAGAAGAGATCCATGATTGATTTTTTTCTTTTTGACATGCATGCACGAAAATATGCAAAGAAAAATATACTTTATGACTAACTTTTTGAGATATTTCAGTTTGATTTTTGCAGATTTCATGTAAAAATACAAATTTACAACATAGGCATATTTCAACTCTTTTCCAAAAAAATAACTAAAAAGAAAAAGAGATATTTCCAACCATTTTTTTTTGCAAATTGTCTCCTAATTAGTTCATAGGATTTCAAGTAAGTCCCAAAAATTAAGTTGTATGCCATGAAATATTTGTAAAATCAGGAAATTATATGGACAATTTTCTTGTCACCATCAATGCATGCAGAAAAATATCTACCGTTGATTTTTTTTTTGCAATTTTGATTTAACATTCTTGAAGAAGTCAGTACACAATCGATTGTAAAAGAAAAATATTGGGTTCCATGTGCTTTTTTTTTTTTTTGCTAAATCAGAAATCCCAACTTTTTAATGTTGGAGATCCCAAAATTTCCCTTTTTTGGCACTTAATTATGTTGCAGTGTATTCTATAAAAAAAGAAACATTGTCATGGATTTTTTCCTTTGCAAATGCTTTCCATATATTCAAATAACCACTTTGATTACTCGAGTGAATTTTTAGCAACTTAGCAAAGACTATGTGTTATATTTTGATGCAATATTATCTACCCTTGCTTCTGTATTGTATGCCCTCAAGTCACCAGATTTCTAGACTGAATTGGATACAAAACATGCAAAAATTTTTTTGGTTACTACATAAAACATACAAAATATAATGACTCAAAGTTGTACAAAATAATTACTAATGTAAGGTTTTCATATGTACAGGACTTTAATTACTATAGCCTTAAAACCCAGTTTAAAAAATGTTAAATGATTAATGGCTTACAAGTATACTAATCTGACATGCTATGAATAATAAAGTTGTTCCCGGTCAAAAATGATTACATGATCAAAATACATATTAACCCGATGTAATAAAACATGCATCAAACTGTACAAATGGTTCAAGTTACACACTACTGTCATGACCATGTACATATAATGTTAAAAATGTATGCAAATAACAGTTCCTTGTGGAAAGTTAAAATATCACAATATAATTGAGTGCAATTGATACATTTCCAAATTGAACATGTTGAATGTGGATCTGAGAGTTCCATTCTGTGACTGACTTGATACACTCCAAATAGAGGATCAAACTACATTTGTAGCATGACTAGCTTATAAATGTAAATCATCAACAAAAATGTAAAGTTAAATCCCAGAAACTTGGAGTTGCCCAGGCTAGCGGAACCCAGATTGACAATGTTTGATATTGTGTCGCATCTAATTGTTATCAAGAATACAATATTTGTTTGACAACATGCACCTGGTATATGGATGACTAGAATTCCAGCATTTATGTACCTTTCTTTCTGCACATCCCCACCTCTGTAATGTATTTGCAACATACTATATATTTGGTCTATTTGTTTTTCTTTTCTTTTATGAAAAATCAAATATATGTTCAATGTAGGCAGAAGTTTTGAGTACATATACATTTTGATGTCTATCTTGACTGAAACTGTACCTCAGTCAAGAAAATGGAGAACTTATGCAAATGCAAAAAATCATGAAAAATTAAAGCGAATTTATTACATTATGTCAATAAAAGGGTGTACATGTACCATGAGCATAAAATATTGCTGCCTCTGACAATCCTTAACAAAAGTTTGACTTTCATGCATTTTTTTTGAACATACTAATTAATTTTCTCAACAAAAAATATGTTGCAGCATACACCTTAGGGGTTTCAGAGAAGATAAAAGAAAAGCAAAAACTTTTGAGGACACTTGTCTCAACATAAGTACCAAGTGCATATACATGTAATTACAAAATGTAGACTTACATGTAAATGGTTAAAAAACAGTAAATAACTAATAAACTAATCAATTAATTAGAAATTAACAACGATAAATGCAAATCATAATCAGTGTTCTAGCTAGCAGATGAATATATTTTAAGATGAAGGACATTTCTAGATCTGCACAAGTTCTTGTCTGAAAAAGGACAGATTTATCATGTTTAATAAGTTCATATATTTTTGGCTGATTATTACATGCATTATGAGGTTGTTAAAATATTTTTCCAGATGTTTAAAAAATGATTTTCTTCGCGTTGAAAGTATTTATTTTCCATTAGAAAACAAAAATGCATACTGCAGGACTATAAGGCCAGATGGATGCACTGAAAGGGCAGGGGCTGCTGCTCACCTCTTTTTTGAGCTAGCTAGGACACTGATACATGTAATACACAACATACATGTTGTTAAAACACATAACAAGGACTTATTAAGTCCTTACATTAAACACACACAATCATGAAAAAGTGTGAGTACAGTCAAATGTACACATTTATTAAAGCTTAATTAAATAAATCAACAAAACTCTCAATTCAAAACAAATAAATTATATGAAAACTATATGTACATGTATACTAGTTTATTTGGGTTGGCCTGGGCATGTGCTCATTTACAATATCCTTTATGGTGCCCCATGATACACAATACATGCATATCTCTCCTAAATAGGTCAAATTTTCTTGCTTCACTTGAGAGTGAAATAGTGCAACCATACTGAGGGTGGCAGAAGAGTCTGGGTTAAAGAGACAACATGAAGGACAATGTCTTGAACACCTTCGCTGTGTTGGACACAACCTCTCCAAATCAGAAATTGTTTCCAAAATAAGCAACTAAGTATACATATCCCTCTAACACACTTAAAATGGAAAATTTTAAAGTGCAAAATAAAAGTTTTTTAGTTTAATTGTTTAATACCTAAAAAGGCATACAATTGGTGTGCAGAAAAAGATAAATTTTATTCTACCATTTTTACAGTTTCAAAAAATTAAGACGTCTTCCCTATAAAATAAGCCTTTTTTGGGGGGATAAGGCTAGTAACTATTGCTTTGAGTCAGGATTTTTAACATTGTTTTCATTTTCAGTTTTAAATTTTTTTTTTCTTTTGGATAAGTTAACAGCATATTACTGAAAAACAGGTCATGTGTGTTTGAACAAAGTAACAAAGGAAAAATATCCTTTGGTTGGCTTATTTTGGGAATAATTCCCAATTTGTACCAAATCTGTTTATACATTGTACATGTAGTTTGAATATCACAATGATAAAACTAGATATGGCTTGCAATATAATGAATTATTAATTAATACTGATAGAGATATAATATACTCCATGTACAAAAATGTATGTGCATGTAATAAGTTCCCTGAAAAAAATACTATCCACACAATTAAAATTCTGCATTTAATTATCATGATTATGTTAACATTTGAAACATTGGAAAAAAAATTTCAAAGTTCAATTAATTAAATATAGCTAGCCCTTAACATACAATTTTTTTTAGTTTTTTTTTATATCCAGTTGCTGTTACATTGATACATGTGTGAGCTAAAAAAAAAATCAGTAGTTTTAACTAATTAAGGAATCCCTGCCCCAAAAATAATGTCATAGAAAAAAATGCAGCAATCAATCATGCAAGTTCAACAATTGTGTAGATGAATTTACACATTTATCATGTTTATAAAATACAAACAAGTGATACTATTATTTCATTTAAATAATGCCAATAAAGAAGGATTTCAGTGATCACTTCAATACAATATTTATGTCACTCCATGTGAGAATTTGTAGAAGTCATTTAACCTTAAACATAGAGTAATATGTGTTTGTCAAGTTCACATATTGACACTTCAGCACGATTCTAATGTCAACATCATCACTGTTCCTTTACATGCTGTTTTGGCCTTTGTACAACATATGTTGTATAGAAGAAATGAGCAAAGAGGACAAAGTAACTGCAGTACATTAATACACTGTAGCGTATATTAGTGTAACTGTGCGCACAATAGGATCCTTGGTCTAATACCCTGTATGCTAATATGTTAATAAGTAAGCCCATGATCATTTGAAGTAGTTGAAGGAAAGTAATTCCCATATTGACCCATTTTGGAATATTGACTCTCATAGCTCTTAATGCATAGTAAGAATACATGATGGAATGGACTGTATAATTCATGGTCATGAACCATCTTCCAGAAGCCATTTTCTGTGGATAGGTGTACCAAACATATATAAGCACGGTTATGTGATGAAACCAGTGGAGGAAGATCAACGGCTGTTTTCGTAGCACTATAAATAAAGTGTCACCTAGTTCCAACACCTTAGATACGGTGAATAGAAAACACCAAAAGCTAGTAACTCCTTCAAAATAAGACGGCACACAAATCGAATATTCAAGACTATGATTTTTAATGGCAGATATAATTTCAGGGACTGTTCTAATGGCTCCAAAAATACTGAAAATCGCCAGTCCTCCACTCCATGTCGCCAGGTAGGGTCTAAGGTCAAATCGCCGGCGTTTTGACATAAAATGCTTTCCTCCAAAAATAATTATCAGATAGACTGCTGAATAAATAAAGCTGTCCGTCCAATGTTCTCTCATATATCGATTAAATTCATTTTCATTGAATTGTTCCTCAAAATCAAATACATACGAATAATTATGTGCACCCATCTTTATTCTTTCAATTTCCTACAACCCAGTCTCCGGCATAAAAATGTGGTGGGTGTTGGTTTGTGTACACGAGGTTATTGCCGTGACTGAATAGGAAAATATTGATTGGTCAATAAGAACGACTGATCTTACATTGACCAATCAGATGCAATTTAACAGAAATCCTTGTCCTATACATTGGATCTATTGATCAGCATGGAGAACATATTTGCAAGGGAAAAATACAGATATTACAGTACAGTAAACATTTTCTAAAAAAATAGTAGTTGACATCAAAAGACGGCTTTATCTGGGGAAAAACTTTGTCCTAAAATGAGGTCATTAAATATCGACCTATTTTTTGACCCTACTGAAAATGGGGGAAAAAAAGGGGGGTATTGAATTAATGGCCTTCTTTTAATTTAGGGGCCCCAACCCTTAATTAGCAATACTAAAATAACCCTTAACATAACCTGACGGTAACCCATTCCTAACCATAACACTAGCCCTTACACTAAAAACAACTCAAGATTGGTATGCTGTGACTGTGAGGTGTACTGTCCAATAAAGGGGCCAGAATAACAAGCAATGGGTCATATTATATATTTTTATTATAACAAATTACTTATTTCAATTACTTTGATATTATATATTAATCAATTAAATCAAAATGAATCATGTTATGTACTTTTTTAACCTATTCTTAATTTACTTTTATATTATGTTTGAAATTATATTGTAATTATTCTGCTCATTTTGGGTGCCGTGATTGGCAAATAAAATTTGTTTGTTTGTTTGGTGTTTAAACGACTTATAAACATAAACCTATTAAACCCTAACCATATATGAACCCCAAAGTGCAGGGACGCCTTACAATTGTAAGTAAAAGAAGGTAGACCTATTGATGTCACGTAACATTCACTTTTCTTGTGATGTAAAAATTTTAGGGGAACATCTCTAAGTCCAGTAATCAGGTATGACAGACTTGTAGCGATCGTAACACTATGACCTAAGCACATACAATGTACACATAGGTTGCATATATGCAAAGGTCATGATCCGACAGCTTGAGCAGCTGTATCAGGATTCAAAAGTATATCTTTTAACAGAATAGACGTATTTACACTTGTATGCAAATTTGTCCGCCATTACGTAAAATCACACAGGTTCCAGTAAACTTTGACATCATAATTCAAAACATTTGACGTCACAATTAAAAAGTGATTGTTGCCTGACGTCAAAAGGTGATTCGGAGTAGATCTAAGGTCATTCGGAGGCAAAATATAGCTAAATACCAAAAGTGTAAATACGTTTATAGAAAGCATCTGCCCAAGTCATGCTGCAGTTGTCAAATAGTAGTTTATTAACAATAAGTCTTTTTATTGTTACAAATTTAAAGTATTTCTATGAAGAATATTCCAACAAATAATTTAGATAGTTTTTACCTAATCTGAAGTTTGAGGGTTCCATAGGTGGCCTGTTGTAAGGCTAACTTTCTGATCCTATCCAATGTACCAGTAGGTCATTTATACAATGTACTTCACAGACTAAAATCTTGGGTACATTTATTAAGAGTTTTCAGGTAGTGTGAATTGCCATTTGTTTTAAGTAGTTGAATAATGACATCTACTTGCATATTTCACCACTTTGATATTAAAAAAAAAATTAATATATTGAAACAGTAAACTCTAAAGCAATTATAAGCTTCTTACAATAAATGTTGTAAAGGTTAATTTCAGAGCAGTAAAACTGTACACAGAGATTAAAATTCACATGTTGAATATTAAGTGTAGTTATTACAATGTAACTTAATTAATAAAATGCTAAAAATGATGTTATCATAATTAATTGACCATTTTTGCAATGTTATTGTAAAATTACATTCATTGGAATGGACCCATCCCTGCTGATGACTTTTTCTGTCCTTTTTAGTTTCCATTCTTTGATGATTCCTTTTGGTCAAGTGTACATTTCTCAGTTGGTGAGATGTGCACATGTTTGCATTGATATCTCAAATTCCTACTAGCAATATTTTAAATTGGATGTTACTATAAATGTACAGATTTTTAGAAAAAGAGTATTTTTATGTTATCTGCAGATATTTAATAAAAGATGGTATTTCACATCCAACGTTTTACTTCAAGTTCAATATTATTTATAAAGCAAACAAGTTTGCAACTGCAGAACATTCAGAAAAATCAGATGAACCAATTTGGAGTTATTGCCCCTGAAATGTTATTTTTTTTTGCAAATTTCACATTTTTTTGTAATTATAATGAAAAATATAATTAGATAGAGAGAGAAAATTTGAACAGTGAAAATGACCTGAACAATAATGATATAAAAATAAGAAGATGTGGTAAGATTGCTAATGAGACAACTCTCCACCAGAGACCAAATAACATAGAGGTTAACAACTATATGTCACTGTACGGCCTTCAACAATGAGCAAAACCCATACCGCATAGTCAGCTATAAAAGGCCCCAAAATGACAAATGTGAAACAATTCAACTTGGCAGAAATTGTCAGATGACCCTGCTGGGGCCAGCTGAAACCCGCCTCCGGGTGCGGGATTTTCTCACTGTGTTGAAGACCCTTTGGTGGACTTCGGCTGTTTTCTGCTCTTTGGTCAGGTTGTTGTCTCTTTGATACATTCCCCATTTCCATTCTCAATTTTACTTTATAGGAGTTATTACTTTTAACACATGTTTAATGATGATTTTACCCTTTTGGGATTTTTTTTATAGAAACTATAGTTGATAGAGAGAATTGTTTTATAGTAAAAATGTTTAACAAAATATGATCTACAAATAAATCAATATGGAAGAATCGTCAATTGACCTCCTACAGGTGTTATTGCCCTTGACAGACTAATTATACACCTTTTTATACGACCGCAAAAAAATTTTTGTGGTCGTATAATGGTATGACATTGGCGTCGTCGTCGTCCGGCGTAGTTGTCGTCGTCCGGCGTCGTCGTCGTCGTCCAGCGTCGTCCGAAGACACATTGGTTTTCGCACTCTAACTTTAGTTTAAGTTAATGGATCTTTATGAAATTTTACCACAAGGTTCAATACCACAAAAGGAAGGTTGGGATTGATTTTGGGGGTTATGGTAATAACAGTAAAGGAATTAGGGGCCAAAAAGGGGCCAAAAATAAGCATTTTTGTAACTTCCAGACATAACTTGTGTGTTAGTGTATGGATCTCTCTGACATTGTACCACAAGGTTCCATATCACTAAAGGAATGCTGGGATTGATTTTGGGGGTAATTGCCTCCAAATTTTAGGAATTAAGGGCCAAAAAAGGGGCAAAAAACAAGCATTTTTCTAGTTTCATGACAATAACTTGTGTGTAAGTGTATGGATCTTTCTGAAATTGTACTACAAGGTTCCATATCACAAAGGGAAAGCTGGGTTTGAGTTTGGGGGTAATTGCCCTAAACGTTTAGGAATTTGGGGCCAAAAAGGGGCCAAAAAACACATTTTTTTCTAGTTTCCAGACAATAACTTGTGTTCAAGTGTATGGATCTTTCTGAAATTGTACTGCAAGGTACCATACCACAAAGGGAAGGCTGGGATTGAGTTTGGGGGTGATGAATCATAATGGGGGTTCAAAAAATTTTGGGGGGGGATTTATTTTTTTTTCCTTTTTTTTCTTTTTTTCCTTTTTTGTTTCTTTTAAAATATTCCATTTTAAGTTGGTTATTTCTGATTTATATTAAAATCAAATAAAAATGATATGGTAGGAGATACACACCAAACAGGATGTGTAAATTATTATATAATAAGTATTGTGCAATAGCAAGAAATTTTCAATTGCACAGTATTGCACAATAGCAAGAAATCTTCAATTGCACAGTATTGCGCAATAGCAAGGAATCTTCAATTGCACAGTATTGCGCAATAGCAAGAAATATCCAATAGCACAATATTGCGCAATAGCAAGAAATTGTCAATTGTACAGTATTGCGCAATAGCAAGAAATATTTAATAGCACAGGATTGTGCAAAAGAAGATACTTCCTATAAATTGCTTATTTCTTGACCAATTTCAATGGGGTTTTATTCTTGATTTCATGGGGTTCTTTAATATGCTGAATCTAACCGTGTATTTAGTTTTTGGATTTTGGGCCCCGTTTTTAAATTGGTCCACATTGAGGCCCAAAGGGTCCAAAATTAAACTTTGTTTGATTTCATCAAAAATTGAATTATTGGGGTTCTTTGATATGCCGAATCTAACTGTGTATTTAGATTCTTAAATTTTGGTTCCGTTTTCAAATTGGTCTACATTAAGGTCCAAAGGGTCCAAAATTAAACTTAGTTTGATTTTAACAAAAATTGAATTCTTAGGGTTCTTTGATATGCTGAATCTAAACATGTATTTAGATTTTTGATTATGGGCCCATTTTTCAAGTTGGTCCAAATCGGGGTCCAAAATTAAACTTTGTTTGATTTCAACAAAAATTGAATATATGGGGTTCTTTGATATGCTGAATCTAACCATGTATTTAGATTTTTGATTTTTGGGCCCCGTTATCAACTTTGTCCACATTGAGGTCAAAAGGGTCCAAAATTAAACTTTGTTTGATTTCATCAAAAATTGAATTATTGGGGTTCTTTGATATGCCGAATCTAACCGTGTATTTAGATTCTTAATTTTTGGTTCCGTTTTCAAATTGGTCTACATTAAGGTCCAAAGGGTCCAAAATTAAACTTAGTTTGATTTTAACAAAAATTGAATTCTTAGGGTTCTTTGATATGCTGAATCTAAACATGTATTTAGATTTTTGATTATGGGCCCAGTTTTCAAGTTGGTCCAAATCGGGGTCCAAAATTAAACTTTGTTTGATTTCAACAAAAATTGAATATATGGGGTTCTTTGATATGCTGAATCTAACCATGTATTTAGATTTTTGATTTTTGGGCCCCGTTATCAACTTTGTCCACATTGAGGTCAAAAGGGTCCAAAATTAAACTTTGTTTGATTTCATCAAAAATTGAATTCTTGGGGTTCTTTGATATGCTGAATCTAACCATGTATTTAGATTTTGGATATTGGACCATAATAGGTGAATGTCCAATTTAAAATTTTTAAGTTCTTAGACCACATTCAATCTGTGTTAGAAACCTATGCTGTGTCAAATATTTAATCACAATCCAAATCCAAAGCTGTATCAAGCTTGAATGTTGTGTCCATACTTCCCCCAACTGTTCAGGGTTCGACCTCTGCGGTCGTATCAAGCTGCGCCCTGCGGAGCATTTTATTTAGTTTGTTACTGCAAACAATTTTGCTTTTTACAATTTCTCTTTCTCTTTATCTATTATGATAATAGATAAAGAGAAATTGTAAAAAGCAAAAGTGTTTTACAAAATAAGATCTACAAATAAGTCACCTTGGCTGAAATTGACTGAAATTAACCACAGTCCTTTTTGCTCGAATGTGACCTACATAATTAGACTTATCACCAGATTTGTACTGACATGAGCAGCACGACGGGTGCCAAATGTGGAGCAGAATCTACTGACCCTTCCAGAGCACCTGAGATCACCCCTGTTTTTTGGTTGGGTTTGTGTTGCTCAGTCTTTAGTTTTCTATGTTGTGTTTTTTGTACTGGCATGGCATGACATTGTCAGTTTGTTTCCTACTTATGAGTTTGAATATCCCTTTTGTATTTTTCGCCTCTCTTTTATAAGAGTTATTACCATGGATAGATGGTTTTTATCTATTTTTTGAATTGTTTGCCGAAACTATTATGATTAAAGAGAAATTGTAATAAGTAAAGATGTTAAGCACAATCAGATCTACAAGTGAGTTAAAAGGGCAGAAATTGTCAACTGACTCCTCTTAGAAGTTATTGCCCCTGAATGACTATTTTTACCCATTTTATAGATTTCTTGCTAAATCAAAGATAGATAAGAATGCCACAATACATAAAAAAAATGCTCAGCACAAAAGGATCTACAAATCAGTCATTGTGTCTGAAATTGTCAACTGACTCCATATAGAAGTTATTTCCCTTTGAATGATGATTTTTATTCTTCTTTGCATTTTTGTCAAAAATATAGGTCCTTATAGAAGTTGTACTTACATGAGCATCAAGTTGAAGAGAAGCTTTAAAAAGAGAAAAAAAATCGTCAAAATAAGATTCGCAAGAAAGTCAACATGGCCAATTATCACACTAGTTATAGGATTTATTGCCATTTTAAAAGACTTTTTTTCTTTCAAAAATTTTAATAGATAAGCATAAACTGTAAACATTAAAAAATGATGATCAGTACAAGACCTACAAAAATGCCATACAATATGATCTACAAATAAGGAAACATAACTGATTGAAATAAAAAAAAATAATAATATCTAAATGGTATATTTTTACAAGGTGATCCATTCAATCTCTTGAGAGCCTCTGGTTTCTAATATTTTTGGTGATATCATTGATATTTTAACAATAAGAAACGGATTATTATTGTTTTTATTTGATGAATATTGACCATAACATGTAATTCATACTAAAATTAGAACATTGCTATTTTGATGTTAACCATAATTTCATCTGTGGCACTGTATACTTTGACATATTCATAATATATATATAAAGTGAAAAACAAGAAGTGGTTTCAAACTATTTTTCTATAAGTAACATTATGTTTTACTGGAAAATTAGTTTGATTATGCTTTATTTTGTTAATAATGGACATATTTCTGGATCATATTACCTTATACTGTAGGTTCATATGATTTTGTATTAATTTTCATTTACCAATTAAACACACTCAAGTGAGGGAGGTTGTGGGTTGGAACCAAAGTCTTTAAAATTATTATTTGCTGCTTCTCCGCTAAGCACACAGTATTTAAAAGTACTTAGTAGTAAGAGCAAAGACTAGTTGGCTTAAGAGTCCAAATAATGTGTTCCAAAATACATAAGCTGTCCAGACTTTTCATCTTCCCTGCAGATATTACACTGAGTTTTACAGTATGGTTTGCATAATATTATTACTTGTCAGTGTTGCTCAAAACCGAATGCTGGAATTCCAAAAATACCAAACATTTAAGTCTTTGAAGAGCAATAAACCTAGAAATCACAATAACATTAATTTGCAAAATAATCTTTCTTTATAGCATTCATTTAAACATGATAAAAGGAATATGAAGAAAAATAATGTATTTGTCTTTTTTCTTCTATAGGTATTATTTATATGTTGATGTTGATACAGACAGTCTATTCAGAAAATTTGCAAAATGACCCAGCTGATATTAAACCAGAAATCCCCCAAAATAATGCAGAAAGTGAAAATGTACTTATAGTTGATGTTGGACAGGGGGATGAGAAGATGGGCATTGATGCAGAAGGAGGTAATCCCGATCTTTCTAACAATGAGGATATTACACAGAAAAATGAAGATACCAGTGAAGAAGTAAAGGAAATGGAATCTGGTAGTTCTTTTTCATTTGGGAGTATATTGAAAAGTTTTGTCGATCCAATATTTGAGGAATCTGATAAAAGACAAAATGAGGAGCTTGAGAAAGAAAATGTGACAGCCATTAAAAATGAAAGTGTAGTTCAAAATGAAACAAGTATCGGTATTTTAGAAATCCCATTGATAGACAGAGACTTAAATCGAACTGAGAAAAAGACAAAATTTAAATGCATCAGTAGAAATATGACATTTGAAAATACCACATCGGAAGTTAAGATTATAAATAACACAAGACTTTTGCAGATTTTAAATTTTGATCAGAATGACACATTGTCAGACTGTGTTTTGGTTATGTTTTATGCACCATGGTGTAGATTCTGTTCCAAAGTAGCACCTAGTTATAATGCTTTAGCTAGAGCCTTTCCTGAGTTAGATGTTGTGGCAGTTGATGCAGCTCATTTTAGCAAGTAAGTAAATTGCCTTTCAAGTGGTAATTTAAGATTTCAGTATATGGGTAATTGGAATTGGTGTATTACCCCAAAATGTTTACTGAGTTTTACATATAATGAAAACTAAGAAAAAATTGACACTGATTTTTTTCATGATTTGATTTTAGAGGCATTTTATGCAATTGTCTTTTCCACTACTTAATAAATACTAATATGCTAAACTATTTTTTGATATAAGTACTTTTTTATACGACCGCAAAAATTTTTGCGGTCGTATATTGGTATGACGTTGGCGTCGTCGTCGTCCGAAGACACATTGGTTTTCGCACTCTAACTTTAGTTTAAGTGAATGGATCTCTATGATATTTTACCATAAGGTTCAATACCACAAAAGGAAGGTTGGGATTGATTTTGGGGGTTATGGTACCAACAGTTAAGGAATTAGGGGCCAAAAAGGGGCCAAAAATAGCCATTTTTGTAACTTCCAGACATAACTTGTGTGTTAGTGTATGGATCTCTCTGACATTGTACCACAAGGTTCCATATCACACAGGGAATGCTGGGATTGATTTTAGGGGGTAATTGCCTCAAAATATTAGGAATTGGGGGCAAAAAAAGGGGCAAAAAACAAGCATTTTTCTAGTTTCATGACAATAACTTGTGTGTAAGTGTATGGATCTTTCTGAAATTGTACTACAAGGTTCCATATCACAAAGGGAAAGCTGGAATTGAGTTTGGGGGTAATTGCCCAAAACGTTTAGGAATAAGGGGCCAAAAAAGGGCCAAAAATAAGCATTTTTCTAGTTTCCAGACAATAACTTGTGTTCAAGTGTATGGATCTCTTTGAAATTGTACCACAAGGTTCCATATCACACAGGGAATGCTGGGATTGATTTTGGGGGTAATTGCCTCAAAATATTAGGAATTAGGGGCCAAAAAAGGGGCAAAAAACAAGCATTTTTCTAGTTTCATGATAATAACTTGTGTGTAAGTGTATGGATCTTTCTGAAATTGTACAAGGTTCCATATCACAAAGGGAAAGCTGGAATTGAGTTTGGGGGTAATTGCCCAAAATGTTTAGGAATAAAGGGCCAAAAAGGGGCCAAAAATAAGCATTTTTCTAGTTTCCAGACAATAACTTGTGTTCAAGTGTATGGATCTCTCTGAAATTGTACTGCAAGGTACCATACCACAAAGGGAAGGCTGGGATTGAGTTTGGGGGTGATGAATCATAAGGGGGTTAAAAAAATTTGGGTTTTTTTTTTTTTTTTTTTTCCTTTTTTTTTTCTTTTAAAATTTTCCATTTTAAGTTGGTTATTTCTGTTTTATATTTAAAAGCAAATAATAATGATATGGTAGGAGATACACACCAAACAGGATGTGAAAATTATTATATAATAAGTATTGTGCAATAGAAAGAAATTTTCAATTGCACAGTATTGCACAATAGCAAGAAATCTTCAATTGCACAGTATTGCGCAATAACAAGAAATCTTCAATTGCACAGTATTGTGCAATAGCAAGAAATATCCAATAGCACAATATTTCGCAATAGCAAGAAATTGTCAATTGTACAGTATTGCGCAATAGCAAGAAATATTCAATTGCACAGTATTGTGCAAAAGAAGATACTTCGTATAAATTGCTTATTTCTTGACCAATTTCAATGGGGTTTTATTCTTGAATTCTTGGGGTTCTTTAATATGCTGATTCTAACCGTGTATTAAGTTTTTGGATTTTGGGCCCCGTTTTTAAATTGGTCCACATTGAGGTCCAAAGGGTCCAAAATTAAACTTTGTTTGATTTCATCAAAAATTGAATTATTGGGGTTATTTGATATGCCGAATCTAACCGTGTATTTAGATTCTTAATTTTTGGTTCCGTTTTCAAATTGGTCTACATTAAGGTCCAAAGGGTCCAAAATTAAACTTAGTTTGATTTTAACAAAAATTGAATTCTTAGGGTTCTTTGATATGCTGAATCTAAACATGGATTTAGATTTTTGATTAGGGGCCCAGTTTTCAAGTTGGTCCAAATCGGGGTCCAAAATTAAACTGTTTGATTTCAACAAAAATTGAATATATGGGGTTCTTTGATATGCTGAATCTAACCATGTATTTAGATTTTTGGGCCCCATTATCAACTTTGTCCACATTGAGGTCAAAAGGGTCCAAAATTAAACTTTGTTTGATTTCATCAAAAATTGAATTCTTGGGGTTCTTTGATATCTGAATCTAACCATGTATTTAGATTTTGGATATTGGACCATAATAGGTGAATGTCCAATTAAAAATTTTTAAGTTCTTAGACCACATTCATTCTGTGTCAGAAACCTATGCTGTGTCAAATATTTAATCACAATCCAAATTCAGAGCTGTATCAAGCTTGAATGTTGTGTCCATACTTGCCCCAACTGTTCAGGGTTCGACCTCTGCGGTCGTATCAAGCTGCGCCCTGCGGAGCATTTTATTGAAAATTTAAAGGATTAAGAATTTCAAGTATTTGTTGATTTTTTGTATGTGAAAAGCACAATGTAAAACAAAATATCTGTACAATGTTCAATACAGCCATGACAGCATTATAATATAAAAACAAGGAGTTGTGGAAAGGTTGCCAATGATACAACTATCCACCAAAGACCAGAGGATAGTATGTAGATAACTATAGGTCACCGTAATCCTTCAATAATGAGCAAAACCCATACTGTATAGTGATTTATTAGTCAGCTTTCAAAGTTCAACATTAACGTAAGAAAAATTAAATATGGCTGATTGTAACTAAGGACAACTAGTGAATTATAGGCTCTTGACCTCCCACAGTAAGATAAAGAATTTGGAGAGGTTAAACATGTTTGTGGGCACTTAACCCTTCCTTAACCTGCATGTAGAACAGTGGTTTAACAGCACAAAATTAGAAAAAAACTGTAAAAATTGGTTGCAAAGGGATTGACTCATCCGACTAAAGAAACAAAGTAACATTCTAAGAGTACTCGCAATTACTAAAAGCTATCACAAAGCCACTTTCAACTAATAAATAAACAATTTTCCAAACTAAAACATCAATCAGAACACATCAAACAGATTTAGTTTAAATACATCATAAACAGTTTGAGAAAAGCATGACCGTGTACAATCCTACAAATAAGTATCTTAAGGATGTAGGACAATAAGTGTTCTTAGCTGTATAGCTATACATATAGAATATAAAAAAAATATATATTTTAACTTGAAAAAATAAAATGTACATTATGCAAATTGTAAAAATGGGAATACATAATGTAAATGTTAATTGTAAATAAAATCTTACAGAATCAAGAATGAAAACTTGACCTGCGATTCACAAAAAAATCTTATAACTAAAATTAATTGTAAGCCATAAAGAATTTAGTATAATTACGATCGATTTTAGTCGTAAGATTTTCTGTCAAACGCAGGCTAGATACATGTATTTGTAGAAATTATCTTTAACAATAAAAGTATTATTATTTAGAGGCCATGCTGTGACAGTAATATTTTAGTTTTAACATGTTTGTTTGTTTGTACTCTAGCTTGAATGCCAGATTTGGAACTGTTTCTGTACCAAATATACTTCTGTTTCATCAATCCAGAGCTGTTGTTAGATTCAACCAAACAGAGAAAAAATTTGATAATCTAGTTTCCTTTGTTAAAAATCATACAGGTAATGTTGTATTAGTATACTATCTGTCAGGTGAAAGCTTACTTCTGATGTCATTCATTCTATTTACCTGGATCAAAACTTACCAGTACTACATGAGAAAATAAGAGTATCATTCTGGGAAAATCAGTTTAGTTTGCTTTTAATATTATCATGTACAGCAAAATGAAGGAAAATTTATATGGCCTTTAACGATAAGAATGCCACAATAATGCAAACTCTTAGAGAATTTTTAGAACACTTCAACACAGATAACCAACTATACGATTTCAAATTCAATGCTCAATAGACAACATGAAAATCCTTCACCATCTATGGAGAAGATTCCTGACCTGGGTCTAGTATAATAGGACACAGTTAAACCAGTTTCTAAATACTCATCCCTCCCTCTTTCAGCATGAGAACAACAGAGAAAGTGAACATAATAAAAATCAAAACTTGAAGAAAAATACAAAGTACACCTCACAGAACAATACATTCTTTAAAAATTCGTAAGGGTTCCGCGGAACCCAGTGTCTCGCCTACTTTTGCTGTTAATAGCAGGCTCAACAAAAATGAGGAAAAAAATTAATAAAAATATTCCTCTCTATACTATCTTTTGATTGTAAGTAGCTTCTGTCCAAGTTTGGTAAAAATCCAGGATAGTTTATGATTCTAATAAATGTTTTAAAAACTTAAACTGCAGACTGTATGTAATGTTAACTGGAAGAAAAACTAAGTCCATTTATAAGTAAAATACGGAAAAAATGGAACAAAATTTTAACAAAATTTCCTTCTAGATACTAGCTTTTAATCATAAACAAGCTACTGTCCAAGTTTGGTACAAATCCAGGATAGTTTAAGAAAGTTGTTAAAATTTAAAAAAACTTTAACCACAGAGTGAATGTAATGTAAACTGGCAGAAAAACTAAGTCCATTTATAAGTTAAATACAGATAAACTAGACTTTTTTTTACAAAATTTACTTCTGGATACTATCTTATGATCATAAACAAGCTTCTGTCCAAGTTTGGTACAAATCCAGGATCGTTTAAGAAAGTTGTTAAAATTTTAAAAACTTTAACCACAGAGTGAATGTAATGTTAACTGGCAGAAAAACAGTCCATTTATAAGTTAAATACAGATAAAAAAAGAATTTTTTTTTACAAAATTTACTTCTGGATACTATCTTATGATCAGCTTCTTTCCAAGTTTGGTAGAAATCCAGGATAGTTTAAGAAAGTTATTAAAATTTCAAAAACTTTAACCACAGAGTGAATGTAATGTTTCCTGGCAGAAAAACTAAGTCCATTTATAAGTAAAATACGGAAAAAATGGATTTTTTTTTTTACAAAATTTACTTTTAAATATTATCTTATGATCATAAACAAGCTTCTGTCCAAGTTTGGTAGAAATCCAGGATAGTTAAGAAAGTTATTAAAATTTCCAAAACTTTAACCACAGAGTGAATATTTGTGGACGCAACCGCCGACACCGACGCCAACGGAATGTAGGATCGCTATGTCTCGCTTTTTCGACAAAAGTCGAAGGCTCGACAAAAATCAGGAAAAAAAAAAGGTCAACTTTGCATATAGATGCAAATGCATATATCATGTATATTGTGCTGAAAAAAAAGAAAGGAAATTGACATTCAGATTTGAATTTTGAAATACATGTATACACTTTTTGAAGTTTTGTTTCCTTTATGAAGTAATTATTTCAGTTTCAAAATAATGTAAAGCTTAACATTCATATCTTAAATATATCACTATTGATGTTTTAGGGATGGAACCAGAAATATCTGCCAATGTTACAGAGGATGACTATATCAGACCACTACCAAGTGTACCGTCCGACGAAACAGATTATTTATTGTGGATTTCATGGCTATTTGTTGTAATATTTGTATCAGTTGTATTTGTAAGATCTTCATACGGACAGCTTTACATTAACAAAATTAAAATATTATGGCAGGAACATCAGCACATAGAGTGAATTCTCGTACTAAAGTCAGTGATTACAGTGAAGTGAAGTGTCCAACTAGTCAGTTATTACCGCTGCATCTAGTCTGTGGTAGTCTGCAGATCAATTTGCACTGCTACTGGTATATAACAACTGCATCTGTTGAGAAAGACCTAGTTATATTTTAATTGTTCCACCATCTGAAATATGTTGCAAAAAGTACTGAGCCATCAATAAAAACAAGCCAACTTGTGCTATAAAAAGTTTTTACTAGCTTTAGTGAACAAAAGATACTAAGTCTATAAGAAACATCAGATAGAAAAAACTTATTCAATATTTTATTTTTATTTTTATTTACTTCTAAGTGTGTTGTTTTATCATTACATGGAAAATCATGTTTAATATTCATGTTTTAAGATGAGCCAAGGCTCTGTGTTGAAGGCCGTACTTTGATCTATAATTGTTTACTTTTTACACATTGTGAATTGGATGGAGAGTTGTCTCATTGGCACTCATACCATATCTTCTTATTTCTAATCAATAGTCTATTTGCCAATTACCGATTTGATTCTGTTATAACACACTTTTAACACAAATTGCTTCCCTTTGTCAATCGTAGACTGGATCTAAAAATTGGCTTTTGTCCTTGCAAAGCATGATAAGTTGAAAGTTATATACATCACCATTTTAACCATTTTTTGGGGAAAAATAACTACTGGTATCAATAGTTTTTAGCTTAACAAAAAATTAAATTAAATTAAAAGGTCTGAAAAACTTGAAGGTTACACACATTACACACATATAAATTTGCTCTTTCCGCTAGCTCTCCATTGTCAATGAAAATTTACTTCTCTCCTAAGGGAGACACTATAAAAAGGATCTATAATTACAGGGTCAATTACGAGAATTAACAAATAGACTATTAACCAATACATTGTCTGTAGTCATAATTTACCATTATCACCAATAAAGTGTTAGGCTCTCTGGCATAACCTGAGATGTAATTCTGTGATGAAGAACTTTAATGTTATATGAAACAATGGAAAATTAATGAGAATTAAAGAATGTTTTTTTTTTTTTATTTGTTTGTCATTATTTTCCAACCCTTGTTTGTGTGTCCTGGGCAAAATTTCAATCTACCATTACTTTGAATATATCACATTGAGGTGCGTTCTTGTGTTTGGAAAAATTGTAACAAAAATATCAGTATGCAATACATTACTTGTTTCATTGTCTGTCACTTCAAGTAAAGTTGATATTTTACAATTATAGCCTTTGTATGAGGTCGATACAAGGATATATTGACCTGAAAGAAGTATATTGACTGAGGTCAAATTAGTTAAAATATACAAATTAATAATATTATAATGTCTAATCTATGATGGCCAGATAGATATATTTACTGTATGGTAAATTTTAGTTTTTTAAAATTTTTCTATTACAGAAGTAAAATTTAATCAATGCATTTTCATCCTTTAAATGTTTTTTGTTTTTTGTCTTGCCTGTTACAAATGTGGCAGAATACTAGGTATAGGAATGCTAATCCGGTGGTATTAACTATTTGTATAAAGTTTATAATTCAAAAGGTACATGTATGACCTGGATGCTTCATACCTTGTATTCAGATGCTCTATGTTATGAAGTTTCAGTCTGTCAAATGTCCATCGTCCTTGACCTGATTCTCACGGTATAGCAACTGCTTAAAAACTGTATAGTTTTTTGTCAATGAATTGCTGTAATATGGTAATAATATTTGGTATATGAGATCCTTGCAAGGCCTAAATGTTCACATGATCTTGACCTCATTTCATGGAGCAGTGATCAAGGTTAAAGTAATGTAATTAGGTCTCTTTCTCAGATACTAAAAGTAGTAGGTTAACTATGTTTGGTGTATGGAATGATTGTAAGGTGTAAATGTCTGACTGACAGGTTTCATCTGACCATGACCTCATTTTCATGGTTCATTGGTCAATGTTAAGTTTTGTGTTTTGGTCTGTTTCTCAAATATTGTAAACAATAATTCAACTATATTTTATTACGAGATCTACAAAAAATTCAAAATCACAGAAGTTGTCAGTTTACTCCTTATAAGAGCTATTGTCCTTGAATGTCACTTTTTACCCAATTTTGTGTTTTGGGTGGAAACTAAAGTAGATAAATTTAAATCGGATGGAGTGTTGCATACTAAAGAGGAAGTTTGTAAGAAAGGTAAACTAACTCTACCTTTGAAAGAATGTGAGATACCAGTATAGTAATGCTCCATTGATGTTGAACTGTTAATATTGTAAAGTTTTCTTATCAGGAGAGTTGCACACTTATACACATGTAGTAATAATAATAGTCCTTCAAATTGCTGTTTTTGAGTTTGTTTTAAAGCAAACAACAGATCTCTGCACAGTTTTTATACGACCGCAAAAAAAATTTTGTGGTCGTATATTGGTATGACGTTGGCGTCGTCGGCGTCGTCCGAAGACACATTGGTTTTCCAGTCTAACTTTAGTTTAAGTGAATGGATCTCTATGAAATTTTACCACAAGGTTCAATACCACAAAAGGAAGGTTGGAATTGATTTTGGGGGTTATGGTACCAACAGTAAAGGAATAAGGGGCCAAAAATAAGCATTTTTGTAACTTCCAGACATAACTTGTGTGTTAGTGTATGGATCTCTCTGACGTTGTACCACAAGGTTCCATATCACACAGGGAATGCTGGGATTGATTTTGGGGGTAATTGCCTCAAAATTTTAGGAATTAGGGGCCAAAAAAGGGGCAAAAAACAAGCATTTTTCTAGTTTCATGACAATAACTTGTGTGTAAGTGTATGGATCTTTCTGAAATTGTACTACAAGGTTCCATATCCCAAAGGGAAAGCTGGAATTGAGTTTGGGGGTAATTGCCGAAACGTTTAGGAATTGGGGGCCAAAAAGGGACCAAAAATAAGCATTTTTCTAGTTTCCAGACAATAACTTGTGTTCAAGTGTATGGATCTCTCTAAAATTGTACTGCAAGGTACCATACCACAAAGGGAAGGCTGGGATTGATTTTGGGGGTAATTGCCTCAATATTTTAGGAATGAGGGGCCAAAAAGGGGCAAAAAACAAGCATTTTTCTAGTTTCATGACAATAACTTGTGTGTAAGTGTATGGATCTTTCTGAAATTGTACTACATGGTTCCATATCACAAAGGGAAAGCTGGGTTTGAGTTTGGGGGTAATTGCCCTAAACGTTTAGGAATTTGGGGCCAAAAAGGGGCCAAAAACACATTTTTCTAGTTTCCAGACAATAACTTGTGTTCAAGTGTTAATGGATCGCTCTGAAATTGTACTGCAAGGTACCATACCACAAAGGGAAGGCTGGGATTGAGTTTGGGGATGATGAATCATAAGGGGGTTCAAAAAATTTTGGGGGGGGGGGATTTTTTTTTTTTTCCTTTTTTTTCCTTTTTTTTTTCTTTTAAAATTTTCCATTTTAAGTTGGTTATTTCTGATTTATATTTAAAAGCAAATAATAATGATATGGTAGGAGATACACACAAAACAGGATGTGTAAATTATTATATAATAAGTATTGTGCAATAGCAAGAAATTTTCAATTGCACAGTATTGCACAATAGCAAGAAATCTTCAATTGCACAGTATTGCGCAATAGCAAGAAATCTTCAATTGCACAGTATTGTGCAATAGCAAGAAATATCCAATAGCACAATATTGCGTAATAGCAAGAAATTGTCTATTGTACAGTATTGCGCAATAGCAAGAAATATTTAATTGCACAGTATTGTGCAAAAGAAGATACTTCGTATAAATTGCTTATTTCTTGACCAATTCCAATGGGGTTTTATTCTTGAATTCTTGGGGTTCTTTAATATGCTGAATCTAACCGTGTATTAAGTTTTTGGATTTTGGGCCCTGTTTTTGAATTGGTCAACATTGAGGTCCAAAGGGTCCAAAATTAAACTTTGTTTGATTTCATCAAAAATTGAATTATTGGGGTTCTTTGATATGCCGAATCTAACCGTGTATTTAGATTCTTAATTTTTGGTTCCATTTTCAAATTGATCTACATTAAGGTCCAAAGGGTCCAAAATTAAACTTAGTTTGATTTTAACAAAAATTGAATTCTTAGGGTTCTTTGATATGCTGAATCTAAACATGTATTTAGATTTTTGATTATGGGCCCAGTTTTCAAGTTGGTCCAAATCAGGGTCCAAAATTAAACTTTGTTTGATTTCAACAAAAATTGAATATATGGGGTTCTTTGATATGCTGAATCTAACCATGTATTTAGATTTTTGATTTTTGGGCCCCGTTATCAACTTTGTCCACATTGAGGTCAAAAGGGTCCAAAATTATACTTTGTTTGATTTCATCAAAAATTGAATTCTTGGGGTGGGTTCTTTGATATGCTGAATCTAACCATGTATTTAGATTTTGGATATTGGACCATAATAGGTGAATGTCCAATTTAAATTTTTTAAGTTCTTAGACCACATTCATTCTGTGTCAGAAACCTATGCTGTGTCAAATATTTAATCACAATCCAAATGCAAAGCTGTATCAAGCTTGAATGTTGTGTCCATACTTGCCCTAACTGTTCAGGGTTCGACCTCTGCGGTCGTATCAAGCTGCGCCCTGCGGAGCATTTTATATTAAATTAGTTCTGTGTTTTCAGTAATTACATGTGGATGATCTGCAATAAAACATTGTGTATGTCATCTTATAAATGTCATCTGACCTTGATCTTAATAAAGAAGAAGATACCAAGAGGCAATAAAAAAAACAACAAATAAAAAATGGCTGAAAGGAAAAATGACCAAAAGATAAAATACTAAACAGAAAAAACTTAAAATTGAGCAAAAAGAACACCAATCAAACCAAGGTGACCTCTCATGCTCCAGAAGAGTCGGCTGTTCCTGCTCCACTGGTGACACCATAATGTAACTCCTGTTAAAATCCTTTCAGGCAAAATATCTGGTGATAAGACAACACACTTTTAAGACTAGACTTATCCAAATTTATAAGCCATTTGTACATGTAAATTCTCAACCCCTAATACATTAGCCATAATGAGCTTTTTAAATAGAAAGTCTTTCTTGACAAAGGAAAGATGAGGCAGTTACTAATAGAAATAATAAAGACGTTGAAAAATTAAATAGCACAAATAAAACACGAAGAACTAAAGCAACAGGAACTAGGAGTGAACTCCAGTAATCTGGAAGGGAAGATAGTTCCAAATCCTTCTTTAGTGGCAGTGGCCATGAATTTGCTGAAGTTATTTCTTTTGACATCCAGGTCCTTATGTGCATGCCTGTATACATCTACTTCAACATCAATGTTAGGATGATCTTGGTTTGCATGTTTATGTGTGTTGTGATAAAGCTGCATTCTGTATCAAAACTTTGTGACTATTTCATGCTTGGAGTAATGATTTCAAAAGCTTTGGGAAATAAGGTTAAGTTCAAAGATAGGGTATGTACCAAGTATAAGTCATAGGGTCATCTAAAAGATATATACAATATACAGATAACATGAATCAACATTAATAGGGGACACCAAAGAAAAATTCATGTATAACATTTGAATACTGTAGCACATTTAGAATAAGTCAGCCTTCTTATGGCAAAAGTAA